ATAGATTTATTTGTTTCGCCACGCAATGCTTATTAGCACGAATGTGGAGAGACGTTGACATGATGACTTATACTGCGAACGCTCTCACATTTTCGTTTTGAGTCAGAGGACATAAAACAGTTTTCCCTAGCTTCTTTTAGTGGGGGAAGGGAAACGGAGTAGGTGCGGCTGGGGACAGCAGAGCTGGTTGGTTTAGATAAAAAGACTCAGTAAGTAATTTTCAGTTTCATTTTTCCTGTTGCCTATAATTTATGGTGATATATTTTTCTTTGTCTTCCGTTATCAGGACAACATTCATCTGCTGTACCAGCGAGCTGTAGCCTATTTGAATGTTGATTCCCCGATACGAGGTACAGACATGTGACCGTTTTTATTCGAAATGATCACTTGACGACTTTGTCAACAAGCACTTTTTTTACGTTGGGCGGGGCATTTGTTGTTGTAAAGATCGACCTAAAAATGCTTATACTTTCCTTAAAAGCTGGTGAGGTTAAAATATTTTATAGTAAATCGTATACTTGATATAGAATAATGCTTTTTTTTTCTAGTGGAAGTGTAGTTAGTTGCTCTAACTAGTTAACGGGCACTCCACTGAAATAATCGAAAGCAAATAGTTAAAATAGCACAACAGGTTTAGAAACCTCGAGGCAAACCTGTTGGCTATTTACAAGCATAGCCGAGGATTTTGAACTCTGGATGACCAAGAAACAAATCCATCCAAACTTTTTTGTATTGATTTTACCTGTATCCCGTATTCTGTTTTTTATTTTATTTTATTATTATTATTTTTTTAGGGAATTACAGCCTGTTTGTCCGTGCGAGTCCTCTTCTTCATCAAGTATTATACAATGCTTCAAAACAGGTGATATATGACTATGTGATGTAATTTGCATCACAGTCAAACATCCTTATCATCATCATCATCATCATCATCATCATCATTATCATCATCATCATTATACTCATCATCGCCTTCATCATTATGAGCATCAACATCGTCATTATCATTATAATGATCGTCACCGTCGTCCCTTCCTATCAACACCAGCATCACGTTGCATTTTTCTATTAGGACAGGGAGCCATGAAATGTTCAGGGTATTGTCCCTCTTTGACCCAGGAGAAAACCTTGAAAAAGGTGAAAATTAAGTGGTTTGAAGCCACATTGCGTTTACGCGGGACAGAAAAGCTAGTTTTGGCTGAATGCCAGTGTTGGGGACACGGTAAATTTGCCTCCTTCAGGCACATTTTAGATAAAACTGTGATATAAAGCTGAAAATTCGTCTTTTTCAGGTGAAAAATCCCGTGGACGAAAATCAGTCCGTTTATGAAAACTGGCTGGACAAATTCCCAGCTGCTGACGGACGAAATCCTGAGTGAGTATAAACCGAGTGAAACGCCTTTGTCGATCTCAAAAATAGCTACAGCTCTCGTTGAACAGAATACAACCCATCTCTGTGCTCGTTCAACATCGTTCAACACTTTGAATTTTATTATTACTTAATATTCAACACAGCATAATACACATTTCAGCAATAATTGTGTTTTGGTTGACAAGTGTTGAACCACGTATCATTGGTTTTACGGTCATTTGATAATGTCCAGAAGTGGCCAAAGTAAAAATGCGACAAAATTTCCAGATTTCCTCGTTTAAAATGCTGAAAAACCAATTGCACCTTGTGATCATACCTGCCTTAGAGGCTTCTTTTGAATGGTCACACCATAGAATTTTGTTCACGGACTGAAAGTTAGAACGGCTTTTTACACAGACTCCATCATTGATATCAAGTCACCTCGCCACCAAGAAAAGTAATATCCTTATACTTATCGAAAGGACAAGTCTCTAAAAGAAAATTCTTTCCCTTTGAATTTACAATGAAATTTAAGGAGGTAAGGGTCGTGTGATAATATTACCCTACTTTCCTAAGAGGGGCTGTTGGATTTTAAGTAAATCGCACCTCTTGGGCATAAGAATAAGCCGTATTGAGGTATTAAAAAGTCGCAATTATTCACAAAAAAAATAAAGCTAAATGTGAGACGTCTGACGCAAGGTGTCAATTACTATGGAAAAACTTGTATTTGGACTTGAGGAAGAAGTATCAGTCCCAGGTAAGTAAACAGTGTAAATATTACGTGGTGGCGAGTCGACTTCTTGAAATGACCGTAAACCCCATCATTCACTCCTAGAGTGAAAGGTCTAAAGTAAAACAAGCATAAACAAAATGATATGTTTTAAAGGCATCGTAATAGCAGACAGTCAGGCCTTAAACTATTAGGTTCCCCGATAAAAAGGGGGAACGTAACAAGCCAACTAAGCATATGTCCTCGGAGCGAACGACTTCGTCAATGCTAAACACCATCCCTGAAAGAAACCTGAAACCTCTGCCAGCAGGATATTTTAGTGTCTTTCAAACGTTTTCACGTTTTGTTGCCAAATTAAATTTCTTTTACTGAAATTGTGAAAGTTCAATGTGCGCCCAGCCCTGAGTAAGTGCTCACCTTGAATAAGCGCCCACTCTCAAGGTCCAAAAATTTAATCAGCGCCCAGGGCACTTGAGCAAATAAATACCGTACATACGGTAGGTGCCTGTTTACATGGAGGTTGGGGAACCCAGGTAGGTGAGGTAGCCCGCTTAGGTGGTGTAACCCGCCTGTCCATGTAATCTCGCATTTTAATTTCATCCCGTTTACAAGACAGGTTACCCCATCTAAGCGGGTGACCTCACCTACCAGGGGGCCCCCACCTCCATGTAAACGGACCCTAAGTTGTGGGCTTGAGTTTTCTGAGTTTTTTAAACACCATGCCGGAAAGAAACCTGGAACCTCAGCCAGCAGGATTTCTTAATAGTGTCTTTCGGTCTTTCTTTTGTGTTTTTTTATAGAATTCGCCCTCTTGGGTCAGGCAGTGACTATTCTCCATTTTGTCAGAGAGCTGGGGTGCCGTCTGCCGATATAAGATATGTGTTTGACATGGTATGTGCCTTGCATTAATTATAGTAACTTTTTGACACGTATATTAAGTCAAATAAAAGTAGTGTTCCAGGGAAATAAAGAAAATGTGTATACCGAAAAAGTTTTAAATAGCAAACATCCATCCGTTGTTGCTTCCAGGTCTCGGGGAATGAGTTTCACTTGCGAGTAACCCTTTTTGTTTGTGATAAAGTTATGTGGTCTTTTTTGTGGTCCATAAAGCCAGCTGTAAAGAATCTACTGAAAAACTGATTTACTTATTTGATTCTCAGTCGTGTAGAGATTTTTGCGCGACAGACGACCTGTCACTGAAGCGCCCAGAAACTCGAAGGTTTGTCCTAAGCGATGATACAAACCGGAACGCCTTACGATGTCCGTTATAACGAGAGTTGTAACAAGGAATGTCATTTTTAGGCGAAGTTTGTTTTTTGTCAAAACAACAGTAATTTTTGACGGTTTTACGGGTATTTAGTTTTTGTCCGTATAACAGTCGAGCCTCATGTGCGACCGCTTATCGAAAACACCAAACCTTTCCAGTCAAAACGTTACAGTTGGAACCTCTGGTAAACGACCACCTCCTGTAAGCGACCGCGACCACTTTTGGGCCTGACGGTTAATGATATTCCATTGTTTTTAACCTCTTGTAAGCGACCACTTGACGCATTCTTTGATCTCTATGGTCGCTGTGTGCACTATGCTACAGTGTACTAAGAATATACGAAAAACTTTAGTGACAACATGGAACTACACATGACGTAACTCAGACATTGCATGCAATAAATATCTTCCGTAAAGTAGATGTGTCTGGACCTCTCCTCGGAAGAAACCCCCTGTAGTTCGATTCTTGTAAGCGACCACCTCCCGTAAGCGACCACTCAGCCTTTCCATTTTAGTAGCTAGGTATACCAAAATCAAAGGTTATTAGAGACCTTTAGATTCGAGGAAGAGAACGACTACGAGTACGAGATTTGATTTAAAGTTTTTTCGCGTATGGTCAAAAAAGAGACACCCCAGAATTCTTCATTGTACTTTTTTCTCCCGAAACGTTAGCACTGTTATCGTTATTGAAGGAGGTTGAGCCCTCTTCTAATTGCAAAATGCTAAAAGTTCTAACATTTGATAACTTGTTCCCGCCACTACGACACTCTCGCTAAAACTCGCAGTAGAATGACGACGGCTACCACGTTTTCCCGCCAAAATGACGCTGCCTCACGCGAGTACACTACTTACTGTTGAGGAAATCTGGTACTCGTAGTCTTTCTCTTCTTAGAATCTAAAGGTCTCTGATGTTGACTGTCGCAATCTTCCTTATTATATACTTAGCTTTTATGATTTACATTTACTTTTTGATTTCAGTTTAAGTTCCATAATATCTCCGCTTATCCAACGTATCACAGTTTGCATGACACATTTGCTTACGTCAAAAAGTTCGTGGATCCTGAATTCAAGACTCATCTGGCGGTTGCGCAGTTCTGGGGCAGTGTTACATTCCTATTGGCTGAGACACCTGTCCTGCCAATCAACTGCTCGGATTACGCTGTTGCGCTGAATAAAGGCGTGTCCAACTTACAGAAAAAGTATCAAGGTGAATTAACCAAGAAAGGAATTTCGCTCGGTGAGTTTATTTTGTTCCTTCAACTTCGTAGCTAAACGTACGCTCAAACTACTGCCACTCAACAGCAAATATTGCTTAAAACAGAGCTGCTATGAATACCCCTGAATTTTACGATGTTTGACGTTTTATTTAAGCAACCTCAACGGTGATGGAACCGAAAACGTTACTTACAAAGTGATCTCGCGACTATTCTAACTCGCTTAGTTTTTCAAATGTTATGATATTTCCCTGGCCGCGGTTGTTCAAACGTTAGATAGCACTATCCACTGGATAAATAACTATCCAGCGGATAAATATTAGGGAACCAATTGCGCGCTATCCACTGGATAGAGATTTATCCAGTGGATAACGTTATCCACCAGGAGATTAATTCGTGGGGACCACGTCAGAGTTCAAAAAGGGAAAGAAACATCTGTTCCCGAGTGTTTACGTTATCCGTTAAGAATCATATTAGAAAGATTTATACGTTGTAGTTTTGCACTGACGGTGAAGGAAAGTACTAGTTAAAAATTGTGATGCGTGTATGACGTTCCCTATCGTCGTTGCTGCAAGTCCTTTGTTAGCCCTGTTCTGAGCAAGTAGGGACCTGGTACGACGTATGACAACAGCAAAAACTAACATGGCGGACAGCAGTAAGCCAACTGTTAATCACGCTCTCAAAGATATTCTGACTGAAGAAGATATACGTATACTGTACCTGTTGCAACAGGGTGTTAAGGAATTCTGTAATAGTCAACATCAGTTGCATTTCTGGAACACAGCGGTGGTAGTGCGCGTTTCTTGGAACATAGCGGTGGTTGTGCGCCATGTTTGTTACCCGGGAGGGGGTACTGCTAGACTGCAAAACAGTCCTTATTTTTGCGTATTCAAGTACGCGCGAGCAGAGAAAAAAAAGGTCTGAATCGAGGCTGAAAACAGAGAGAAAAACTGGGGAAAGCTAGACGGTTTTTATTTTTCTCGCCTCGCCTCCTCTTTCGCTTCATGCACGTGAGGCTCTTAGGCTATTCTTACGCTACATTAAACCGATTTTGAAAAAAAAAAAGAACCGACTGTTTTGCAGTCTAAGGTACTGCTGGGAATTCTTGGTGAAGGTGTGCCGCCCGGTTCTCCAAATACCGACCCGATTTCAGACCAAAAAATGTCATTTTCCACACCCGCTTTCAGACCTGAGCACTAAAATCCCTACCCGTTTTAGGCAGAAATTATTTCATAATTACTTAGATTAGAGTGCAAACAAAAAATTTCTTCAAATGTATTTCGAATTCGCATATTTCTATTTCTTTCTTATTCATGTGGAATTGAAATAATAAGTACGTTCATACGCTCCCGTAGTTTCCTCGAAAACCATACCCAATTCCAGGCCAAAATGGGCAAAAAGGCCCAAAAACCCTACCCTTTGGGGCGGCACATAGGGAGTACCCCCTCCTGGGATTTGTTGACCTTCATGCTGTCCCTCCAAACAATCCCGAGAATCTTTTATGGTCGCATATGTTACCATTTGTGATTACTCCCGGTAGGATCTTGCTGGCTCTGTCTCAGCCCGAAAGACAAAATTATTTCACTTACTGAACCCATTTATAACGGAATTTGATTTCAGAATTTTTGGCTAAGGCAGTGAAAAAGTTTAAAGAAGGAGTGAAGAACATGCAATCACTAATCAAAAATGTGGACATTTCAGAGTAAGTATTGGAATACAACTTAGCTTGTTGACACGAATCATCTCAATGACCTGTTCAACCAGCTGGCTTGTTAGCTCAAATTGGTAGATCGCCGCACCGGTATCGCAGAGTGCAAGGGTTCGAATCTCGTACAAACCTGAATTTCTTCAGGCTTCCTTGCGTTTATGACTACGATGATTTTCTGTCATGAAAGTTTTCACCCCAGAGTTCCTATTGCTGGTTTGCACGTGACGTCACGGCGGCAATGTTGGATGACAAGAACAAAAGCATTTTTCTCTTCTAGGGACTTTCAATATTTTCGTGAAAGTTCTTCAAAGAAAAAATTATATTGTATTGCCATCCAACATGGCCGCCTTTTCACGTGGTTGCAAACCAAGATTATATGGTTTTTCATTATTTCACTCAACTTAGCATCTACAGGTTAATCCCGTGTTAATTGCTATAATTTATTTGCTTTGCTTGAAAAATTTAAAACTCATTTTCTCCTCTGACAAATGAATTTTTTTCAGCCCCTGGTCTCTCGCGTACATTAATGACCGTTTGAGTGGACTGGAAAAAAACTTCTTAAACCCGGAAGGACTGCCGGGAAGACCTCTTTACTGGTAAGTACTATTCACTCTCGAGAGCTCTGTAAGTGAATTTGTTTATATTGTGAACAAAGAAGTTGCTGTGTAAGCCCAAAAACACCTTGTTGAGCAATTTGCGAGGTTGTGATTGTATGACCATACTAAGTGCAATCGGTAAAATGGCTCCTCTTCTCCCGTTTTTCCAGGCATTCTATTTTCGCGCCAAGTCTTTTCAACTCCTACGCAAGTGCCACGTTTCCAGGCCTCCATGATGCTTTAGTGGACGCGGTCAACAATGGAACCTGGGCATTAGTTGAGGAAGAGTTATCTAACACTGTTGTAGCAATTGAATGGGCTGCACAATTTTTGAATTCAACGGTATAACACACGACTTTGCGTTGGGTGTTTGTCGGTTCGTTCTGTTGTATCAATTCTTGATTTTGTCCATGGAGAAAATAATATTTGTAATTATTTAGCGATTCTGTTTTTAAACTTAGGTAAGTTTTATCTGACTTTTAGGGCAGTGGATCAAAATTAGTAGTATCGTTTCTTTGAATGGCTAGAAGCGTTTTTATCCTTGGATTGGCTTATTCAACAACGTGATGCAGGCCATCTTCTATTTATCTTGTAGCTGCGTTAACAAAGCGAGGATTGATGTTAGCTCAAACTTTCGCGGTCAAACAACTTTTGGTTTTGATTTCGTTTACGCCAAGAGGTCAATTTGGAAATTCCTGTTGTTACCGGAAAGTCGAGCGGTCAAAAACGATTTTCAATTCGCTCTCTGGCTTGAAAGCCTTTTGAAACGTGAATCAGTTTAAAAGCTGCTAAATCGTAAGTTTCTTGTTGCCCTGCGCGTTTTGCACGTTTCGGTAACTAATTTTGTTGAAGCAAATTAGCCCTAGGAAGTGTGTTTTCCATAAGCATAGAACCCCATGTTCACAATTCACATATCGTCAAAAAATCTCCTAAAACTATTTATTGAATGCTTTTGAAAACCGTCCTCAGTCAAGTCTCCTTCGCATCCATTTTTACGGTCGTCACGCAGGAGCGTTGTGTGACGAACCTAAGAGACTATGCTCAGTTAGCCTGCGTCAGAGACACTCTAAATCCTCTGTCAAATAGTTAGACGATGCGTGGGCCGGCTGCAACGTAAGCTATGGTCAGTGCTTATACTTTGTAGGTTTTGCCCCTATAATTTACAAGTAGAACTAACTACTTGGACACGTGCAAATTCATTCTTCTTCGGCCACTGCACGTCCCCAGGTTGCATAATTATTTTACATTTACGCTGGTATTCACAAGCTATTGGGTCGGAGAGGGAGACGTAAACAGGAGCGCAGAGCGTTATGATCTACTGGAAATCAGCGTTCCGATTCGGCGTGCGGCGCCGTCGCTCACGATCTCAGAGGGAAAATTAGACTATTGTCGGAATCGCTAGCTGAAGCGTAATAATATTATAGGGATGAACCGATCACAACGCTTGGGAACGAGCATTGTGATTGGTTTATTCTTCTGCTTCTGTTTGCGACTCCGACAATCTAGTGGCCACTAGGTCATAAGCGACGGAGTCATAGCTGACGTCGGAAGAAAGTGATAGCGTTCTGATTCTCGTGACTCTGATTCCGTGATTTTATGATCCGCATACAACTCCGATTTAGTCATAAAGGGCACTTTTACAGCTTCGACTCCGAGTTCGTCAGAACTACGTTAAAACCAGAAGAGCCCGGCTGACCGAGCTGGCTCAGTTAGCCGAGATCAGATCTGGCTGAAGCCCTATTTCGTCTTTATTCGTACAAAAAAAAATTCAATGATTTCATGATTTCATACGTATGAAAGGCGTGTTAGACGAGTCAACGAAGGTCTTAGTTCATCGCGCTGGAAATTTTCCAGTGTTAACACTTCAGCCCAATATACTGGGACTAATCGTGTCCAGGTGATGACGAAAGATCTTTCAAAACTACCGCAAAGAAAATCTACGTAAGAAAATCTAGCGTTTTCTACTTTCCCGCTCGTTTCTTAGGCCGCTCGTTGTGTCGTGACGACACAAATTTTGTGTTTGGTGTTTATCTACTAAACAATTCAAGCCAGATGCTTGGTTTAAAATTTCTCATTTAAACACAATACCGGGATCATTATCAGACCCTTAGTTTGTGTAACGCCTCGTTACAAGACATGTTTTTTTTTAAAGTTTAAGTAAAAGTAATCCAGATTTCAAATATTTAAGTAAGAAAATCGGTGAAATGATTAAAATTATTTTGAAATGTTTAGTTGCTCTGATTTTTATATAAGTTAAATTTAACTCCAAATTTCGCTAGACAAGTTTGGATGAAATTTATTGAAAAATTATTTTTCACAAACATGCAATATCAAGAGGAGATAACCTCTTGACTACATGAAATATATGTTATTGCGTGAAATTGAAGGCATATATAAATCTGTAAAAAATTAATTATCTTATTATTAGATTAAATTAAAGGTTCTAAATTATATCTATCAGTTCAGTAAGTAAGTTCTGTTTGATGGAAATAAAACGGCGTCATAAAGAACTGATTTTTCGTGGAATTTTTCTTGTAGTTATTTAGTAACGAGGACGTCTTTTTACACTTAAACCAGAATTAATTTTGTTTGGTTTTTTTTTCATTTTTGAATTTTGTAATCCCAGTGTGTTTTGAATAACAAAAGCCCTAATTTGCACAAGAAAGCAAAACCCCAAATGATTCTGGTTGCGTTCGACATTAGAAGAACGAAAGTCCTCACGTTGGGAATCTTATGGTACTTGGTTATCCTGTGGTACTCATGGGTGACCTCTTTAGCTACTTGTTTTTTCCTGGTTCGTCTGCATTTTCGCCGCCATTTTTTATATGTGCTTGCGCATCACCCTGGTTAGATCATGGCCACACCCAGATAATGCAACTGATGTGGATAATCACAGAGTTCTTCGAGTTCGGCAAGTTCCTACCTTTCTCGGTGTTACCACATTGTTAGGTCAAGAGATTTTATACCGATCAAATCGAGCTCAAACGTTAAAGAAATTTCCCGCGCGTTTGAGTCTATTAATTTATTCACAGTATTATTTCTCACTTGCACGCAAAACATTCCGGGATAAAGTGCTTTTGCCGAATTTTACCCGCGTACTTCTTAGGTTATACATGTAAGCCTTTATCGATGTCTGTCGCAGGATTTTGGAGATAAGACCATGAATATAGAGAGTTTTCACTGACGTGGCCAGCATCTATGCAAATTTATGGAAACAAGAAAGATTTTGCATATTAAGAAAAGAGTTTAACCCTCGAAGGATTGTCTTGGCACACCAACATGGCCGCCGTTTCATTGTTTTGGAACACCAACATGGCCGCCGTGACGTCATGTGAAAACGCTCTTTTAAGCGTTTTCACTCACGTGGCCGACATCTATGCAAATTTATTGGACAAAAGAAAGCGTTTTCATAAGAAAAGAGTTCAACTCCCGAAGGATTTGTTTGGTACACCAACGTGGTCACCATTTCGTTGTTTAGGAACACGAATATGGCCACGGTGACGTCATGTGAAAACACCCTATACGTTAAAAACACGATGAACTGAGTCAGCTACACAAACTGAATTAAAATGAACAGTTTGCATAATGGCAAACGATTTTGTACCTTAAGCGATGTCTGGTTCATTGACATGATCATTGCCGCTATGATCATTTTAAACTTTAACTTATTTTAGGCAAGAAGCCATGTTTACTTTCGAGTTTACCATGCTTTTGGACGTTTGTGGTGATATGCCTTTAGGCTTTATGTCTGCGATATACTTATTTTTATTGAGGCTATACTCGAAGGTGAATAAGGCATTGTAAAAATTTGAAGCCGTCTACCTGGAGAGCAAAAAAAAATTTTATTGTTTAAAAATATGTTTTCATGATCTTTAAAGCAAAAAATACTAATTTAAAAACACACTCAGTAATCTAGTGGTAGTAAAGTATCGCTTTGTGCTAATGGCTTGTTGGAGGGAACTTCCTGACCATTTTCGGGTGCACTTGAAGTTCATTTCAAGTGCACATGAGACTAACTTAAGTGCGAATGGGTCCGCGTGTGAACTCACTTTTCAACGTGAAGTTACTAACTGATCTTAATCGTAACTGCACCGTTACATAAAAGTACAATTAGGGACCTTTATAATCAATTTTTTCATGGGAAGGCGCAAACTGCAGTTTGCAGTTCCACGTTGCCGGGATTTCACATTTTAGCAAGATAATCCTTGTTTAGTATTGCCATGTCATTTTTCGTCACTAACCGCTGGAAGCTCTTCCTGACGTTCAAAGTGAACTGCAAACGGGACCGTTAGACCGTGGTCACGTGACATCTACATGTTTGCAGTTTGCGGTTTCCCATGAAAAACGTGATGTTTAAGGTGTCTATTAACTTCCACACACTTAACTGCATTACAGCGTGCAGTTCACAGCAAAAAAACGTGTCATAGCCCACAAGATTGTGGTTACACGAGCTAAATGCAAAAAAAAAAAAATTAAAAAGTGACAAAAATAACGCGTAGACAGGTAAAGGGTAGCCCCTGACTTGATAAGGTAGCAAACGCAGTATTTGTATGAAAGCAAAAGGGAGTCTTCGAAAACACGTGACTGCTTCGTCATCGTTGCATAAGTTGTTATACTGCAAGTTCCAGTGAATAACTATCTACAAATCTACTGTCACCAGTTTTCCAAATTTTTCTAAAACCATATAATATACTCAGGATAACATTGAGCATCGTTGAAAACGACAAAGATTGTTGGAAATGATGTATTGTCAACTACCGAATCATATAGAATTGTGATCTTGTTTGGGTCTTTTGGGTCAGGCTGGAGGAGGCCAGGACGTCCTTGACAATAGTCTCCAACCAGGACCCGGGCAAGGTACATCGCACCACCACCACCTGCCCCTCCAGCGTAACGAAACGAGTAAGAAGCATCTCTGGCGAAGTACACACCAAATCCATAGGCCGTCCCTATAACGTGAAAAACAGCAACAACAAAGCGTGTTTCCTGAAGGCCTGAGTTAGACTGGAAAATCGTAGCCTCTTTTCCCGGCCAAGGTATCTCATGAATATCTCAGATCTTGAGTTTTTATTATTTTTGTCTCAGGATTTTGTCTCAAAAGAAGCCCAGGCTAATAATGGGAACATTAAAGGTGAACTGCTACCAGAATCATTTGCTCGCTCGAGGTTGAGCAAAATATCCTGATTTGCCAAGCGTAGTCAATCGAACCAAATCGAACTCCAGTCATTCGATTGACCTCGATTGGGCTCGGTAATCGAACATAATCGAACTCACCCAAGTTTGCCAATCGAACACAATGAAGAGTAGAGTAATCAATTTATTTCTCTCTATAGGTTTGTATACCAATTTATAGAAACAGATAATTCACTATTTAGAAATAACTAAACAAACACAATCAAACACTTTAACAATCGATCACATGGAACGCTCGGAAGTGGAAGCTTTAACAAATGGAGACAAAGAAAGTTTTGTTTCGTTTCAAACAAGGCGTTGCGATTAACAAATAAGTTATGTGTTACGGCTTCAATTTCAAAATTTGTACACAGGCAAGATGTCAGAGAGAAGGGGAAAACGTGAAACCCAGCATGACTAACAATTCTGGATTCCACGAGTGCTCAGGTAGTGTAGGAGCCGC